AATGAAGGATATCTATGAAAAACAAGTTAAAATTTGTCAAGAAAAAGGGGAAAAAATGCAAGAAATTAGGTTGCTTTTTAGTCTCAAAGACGAATTTGATCAAAGAAGGTATAATGTACCTTCAAGTAATGAGGTTTGCGCAATAATGGTTTGCGACGCTAATGATGATATACCATTAGCAAGAATTGTTGTTTATCCTAAGGGTGAGAAAAACTTAAAAGAAATATATCCATTAGATAAGTGTGTTGAGCCTATGTGTTACCCCATATTATATCCGCATGGTTCATATGGTTATTCTTTTGATTTACAAGATTTAAATAATAAAAAAATTACGCTTTGCGATTACACGAAATATATTTTATATTACAAAGAAAGTAATAAATTTCAACCACTTTTTTTTGCCGGAAAATTGTTTCAACAGTGGGTAGTGGATCAAGCCGCAAAAATTGAATGGGATAGACTGGAATATATTAAAAACCATCAAATAGAGTTATATAGTAGTAGTTATACAAACGTTGAAGATTTTTTAAAGAAAAAATCATTTAAAAGCGGAGCAGAAATTCAAAAGAAAATTATTCTTCCATCAACATTTTCAGGAGGCCCTCGAAACATGCACGAACATTTCATGGATGCAATGGCGATTGTAAATGAGACAGGAAAACCTGATCTTTTTGTTACATTCACTTGCAATCCAAATGACCCAGATATTTTGAAATGTCTTTTTCCAGGTCAAAACCCCTCTGATAGGCCAGATATTGTTACAAGGGTTTTTAATTTAAAGAAAAGACATTTATTGGAATTAATTTTAAACAAACAAATTTTTGGAGAAGTAATAGGATATTGTTGGGTTGTTGAATATCAGAAAAGAGGACTCCCGCATGTCCATTTATTATTAACTTTGGCTCAAAAAGATAAGTGGAGGAATTCAACAGATATTGATAAATTTATAAAAGCAGAAATACCTGACAAAAAAACTGAAACTGAACTTTTCGAGATTGTTACGAAGTTTATGCTTCATGGGCCCTGTTTAGAAACATCTCTTTGTTGGGATAAATTGAAAAGAAAATGTAGGAAAAAATTTCCAAAACCTTTTAGAGAAATTACAGAAATTAACGAAGATGGTTATCCACTTTATAAAAGACCCGATAATGATAGATTTATTTATAAAAAAGGTCACAAATTAACAAATCAAAATGTTGTACCCTATAATCCTTTTTTATTAAAAACTTTCAAGGCACATATAAATGTAGAAAGAGTAAGCGACATTTTGGTTGTTAAATATCTTTATGATTATATTTACAAAGGATATGATGCTGCTACAATTGAGTGTATTAGTGTTGGCGAAGATGGAGTTAAGAAAATATTAAATTATGACGAAGTTGGTACTTATTTAGAGGCTAGATATTTAAGTCCCTGTGAAGCGTGTTGGCGTATTTTTAAATTTAAAATGCAGGGAATGTCCCACTCAGTAGACAAATTAGATATTCATTTAGAAAATGATCAAAAAATCTTTTATAAAAAAAATGCAACAGAAACTGAAATCGAAGAAGCATCAAACAAAAGTTCAACTTTAACAGCCTATTTTAAATTTTGCCAAGAAAACCCAAACTTAAAATTTAAATACATAGAAATGCCGAAATTTTGTACCTGGGTTAAAAAGGATAGAAAGTGGAAATACCCAAGACAAGGGAAACTGAATAAAATTGGACGGCTACTTCCGGTGAATCCAACAGATACTGAAAAATATTATTTGAGATATTTATTGCTTAAAGTTCATGGTAAAGATTTTAAGGATTTAAAAACAGTAAATGGTACAACGTGCGAAACTTTTGCTAAAGCGTGTTTACTAAGAGGTTTTGCACAAGACGATGAAGAATGGCATAAATGTTTAGAAGAAGCTAGCTATTTTTCTAGAAAATATCCAAAGGGATTAAGGACTTTGTTTGTTAATATATTATTACATTGTGGACCAAAAAATCCAAGAAAGTTGTGGGAAACATTTAAGGAAAATATGATCGCCGATATAAAAAGAAAATATCCAAATTATTCTAAAGATCAGCTCAGTAATATGGGACTAATGTTAATAGAGCAGTCTTTGAAATATCATGATAAATCATTAACTAACTATCCAGATATGCCTTTTATCAGCAACTTACATATTAATATAGAAGAAGATGACTTATACGATCCAAATGAAGAATTAGAAAAAGCAAATAAATTAATTTCTGTATTAAATAAAGGCCAGAAAGAAATTATTGACAAATTCCTTAATATTCTCCAAGAAAAAGATAAAGAAAAATGCGTTTTTATAGACGGACCTGGGGGTACGGGAAAGTCCTTTGTCCTAAAAATAATGTTTTACTTATCAAGGTCTTATAATAAAAAAATGTGTAATATGGCTTTTTCAGGAGTCGCAGCGACTCAATTGCCTAAAGGGAGAACATTGCACAATAGATTTAAACTTCCATTAAATATTACTAAAAATTCTACGTCCGGAATTGAGATAAAAAGCAAAGAATCGGAAGAAATCAAAAATACAGAAATATTTGTTTGGGATGAAGCTCCGATGGCATCAAGATTTGTAATTGATATAATTGATAAAAAATTAAAGGAAATTATGTGCAATAATTTACCCTTTGGAGGGAAAATTTTTATTTTAAGCGGGGATTTTAGGCAATGCCTGCCTATTAAAGAATTTGGAACGCAAACAGAAATTATTGATATGATAATAAAAAAATCTATTTTATGGAAAAATTTTTGCCAAATGAAATTAACCGAGAATATGAGAGTATATGAAAATGAAAAAGAATTTGCAGATGAATTAATTAATATTGGCGATGGCAAAGCCGGGAAAAATGGTTTTATAACAGTGCCTGAATTTTGCATAAGCAAAGGTGATTTAATTGAAGAAATTTTTGGTGAAGTTTTAAAAGAAAATAACCTGGAACAATTACAAAATTATGCAATTTTATCCCCTTATAATACAATTGTTGACAGCTATAATGAAGAAATAATAAATAAATTTTCTGGAGAAAAAATTACATATTTTAGTATAGATGAAACTGACCCAAATAGTAATTTGCCTATAACTCCTGAAATATTAAATTCTTTAAGATGTTCGAACTTTCCAAATCATTGTATTTCTTTAAAACGAAATACAATGATTATGTTACTAAGAAATTTAAATATTAAAGAAGGTCTCTGCAATGGCACGAGATTGCAAGTGACAGATTTAGGGAAGAATGTATTAACATGCAAAATTAAAAATGGGGAAAAAATAGGCGAAACAACATTTATACCGCGTGTTACTTTGATTGAAGATAAAAAATTCCCTTTTTTTTTAAGAAGACACCAATTTCCGATAAAGTTAGCTTTTGCGTTTACCATTAATAAAAGCCAATCACAAACATTTGAAAAAATTGGTGTTGATTATTGTGAAGAACCATTCACACACGGCCAAACGTATGTGAGCCTTTCGAGGGTTAAATCTTGGGAGGGTTTAAAAATAAAAATTTTGGATGAAAATGATAAAAAGATAAAAAATATTGTTTGGAAAGAAGTATTGCGCTAAAATATTAAAAAAACATTAATTTTCAGAGAAAAATTAAGAATAAAAAAATTTAAACAAAAAAATAATCTTTTGTCAATTTAAAAATTTAAATAATTGTTCAAAAATATTGCTAAAAATATTTAAAAAATTTCTTTTGCAAAAAAAACAAAATTTAACTAATTAAAAACAAAAATTAGTAAATTTTTAAGTTATAAAATAAAATTAATAATAATAATAAATTAATAAAAATCCCTTAGTAATAAAATCTTAAAAAATTATGAGTTAACACTTTCATTTGTTTAAACAACTTTAATAAAATCTATGATTAAATCCTTTTACTCAAATCATTATCTTAGAAAGAAAAAAATACCAATTGTTAACAAAACGTGCTTTTTATTAAAATAATTTGCTTCAAAAAACTATAAATTTTAAAAAATTGATCAAAAAAAGTGATCTTTTGGGTTAAGCAAAAATATTTATGTCGAAATCTTGGAAAAAATGGCGTAAATATTTTGATCAGTGTTTTGTTTACAAATATTTTTAAACAATTTTTAATAGGGACTAAAATTTTTTAAGAAGCACAAAAAACCAAACATGGGACAAAAAGCAAAGAAAAATACAGTAGAATATTTATGCCAAAATTTTTGTAGTAAACAGAATTTGTTATTTTTACCCAAGTTTACACCCAAAAAAATAGTTTATAAAAAACGTAAAAAACCATCACTTTAAATTTAAAAAAATATATTTTTAATCAAACAAAAATAAAATGGAATCACAAACAACTTCAGAGGTTCCAGAGAAAAAAATTAAAAAAACACCACTTCAGGCTATCAAAATCGGGGAAACAATGATGTAAGTTTTTAAAAAATAAAAATTTAATTACAACATTTAAGTGATATAAAATTAATGTTTCTAACAGCCGATGCTGTTCGCTTTGTTAAAGATAAATTATTTGTATGGAATTTAATAGCTACAGATGGGCAAGTTTTAAAAATTTTAAAATTTTCAATAAATACAATTTTTAAAAATTTTATAAACTAAAAAATAAAAAAAATAAATTTTTCAAAAAAACAAAAAGTTAATTATTTTTAATAATTTATAACACGCAAAATAAAGCATGCAAATTCCACAAAATTTTATTAAAAATAAATAAAGAAAATTAGTTTGTTTAAAAACCATTAATTTTTTTTAAAAAATCCAAAACAAAATTTTGAAAATAAATTTGAACAAACTATGAAAAAAATTTGGAAAAGCTATTTTTTAAAAAGTTACGAAAATTAATAAATATTTAATGATAGTTATGATTTTGTAAATATTACTTTATGGGACAAAAATTTCCAACGTTTATTCAATGAAATTGGATCAAATTTTAAAGTAAACTTTTAAAAAATTAAATTAATTTTTGAAATAGTTAAAAACTTTTTTATTGAAAAATTTTGCGGCAAATAAAATGTCTTCGCTTTATAACTATGGAAGTTTAAATTTTGAGCTAAAGGCGCAAGAAACTTCAACCATAGAAGAATTGACAGAAAAAAACAATGAATTAAAAGGAATAACAGAAAAAACATATTATGAATTCTTAAAACAAAAATTTCTTATCGATGAAGATTTCCAAGCCACTCCAAAAGAAAAATTGCGAATAGGAGAAAAATTTGCGTAAGCGGAAAATAAAAATTTTAATAAAGCCCAAAAATTTAGTGATGTTGAAGTTGAACTTTTAAATACAAATTTGATCCGAAATGTAATGGTCAAGGGTAAAAATGAAGCAAAAGTACTAGATTGTTCAGTTTTAGTGAACAAATCAAAAGCGAAATTAACTTCTTGGAATATTCTGGCCGAATTTATATTTTACCTATTAAGCGGGAAAGAAGTAAATTTAATTAAAAATAAAAAGACAAAAATATTAAAGGGAAACATAATTAAATTGCAAGGTGTAGAAATAAAAGAAGGGTTTGGAAAAGAAGAAATGATTTTTAATTTCTATAATACAAGTAAAATAAAAATTGAAGAAAAGAAATTTTTCGGCGAAAAAATTTCATCTTTGGCAGAAATTGCGCAAAAAAATGGTTTAATAAAATGTAAATATTAAAAAATTATGAATTTTTTAAAAAAAGTTAAAACAAAATATGAAAAAACATTTTTAATTAACAAATAAATTAAAACCGGAAAAAAAAACAAAATTTAGGTTCTGTACGTTTAAGTATTATTAAAAAGCCAATAATACTTAATTTTGCGAAAAAACAAAATGGGACATTGTGTACAGATGGGAAAAACAAAACGCAGTTTGTTTACCCAAACAACATTAATTTAAATATTAATGACGAAATAACACTTCAAACCGCAAATGTTGAAAGAAATGAAGGTTTAAAAAAAATAAAATTTTTTAAAAAAATTTTAGCGGGTGTTTTAACATTGACAATTTTTGAGGAAAGCGCATTAAAAAAAGAAAAGGGGAAAAAAATAAATTTTGAATTGAATGAGCTTGAGTATCCGGATTAAAAATGAAATTCCATCAATTTATTGAAATTAAAAAAATGAAAACTAAGTTTTCAAAATTAGCCAAACTTTATAAGTTAAATAAATCACCGTTTTTTAATTTTCAAAAATACAAATGGAAAATTAATTTGCAAAAAATGGTGATTAAATAAATTAAAACTTTTTGTTGAATTGTTTAAAGTTTAAAAAAAAATATTTTTTATAAAAATCGACTTAAAAGAATATGTATTATTAAATACAAAAAAAATAATTAAAATTCAAACTTTCAAAAAATAAATTTAAAAAAATTTAAACAAAAATACATATATCATAGTTGCGCAAAAAAATAAATATTTTTAAAAATTTTTTAAAAAACTAAAAATAAAAAAAAACGCACAATGACGTTGTCAAAAAAATAGTGCGAAAAAAATTATAAAAAAAGAAAAAGCAAAAAATTTATTTCACAAGATCAAAAAGAAAAAACGTTTTTCAAACTTAAAATGCGTTTCAAAAAAAAGCGGAATTAGGTTAAGATAAGCAAATTTTAGAAAATACAAAAACAAAAAAAAAGAAAAAAAATGAATTTTTGCACGTTTTTTACTCAAATAACAAAAACCACAAAAAACAAACACATCTAAAAGTATTTTTGAACGAAAGAATATTTAATTTACTGTTTTAATGATAGGACAAAAAACATTATTAAAAATATGCCTAAAATTTAGGAAGAAAGAAAGTGGTTTGAAAAGAGGATCAGAAATCAAAATTAATACGTTGCACATAAATAAATTTTTTTCAAAAAAACTTAAAACATAAAATTATCAGACCAACAAAATCAGAATAAAAAGTTCAGTATGAAAATTCAAAACAAAAAATTCACACTAAAAACATAATATACCGTTTTTACACAATTAATTCCCCTGAGGAATTGTTTTTTCAACACATCCCTGGCATGGGGAATTAATAAAGGGTGGGGAATTAATTGAGGGCGAGTAATTAACCAAGAAAAAACAGTAATAATTAAAGCGCGGAAAAAGAAAACAAACACTTCGAAACTAAAAAATCAATATTAAAAAAAGAGAAAAAAGAATGAAAAAAATATAGAAAAAATTAAAGGTGAAATGAATTTGTGCAAAAACCTTAGGTTTTTATAAAGAAAAATTAGTGCTTTAAAATTGTTCATTTTTTAATAAAAGTTTTTAAGAAGTTAAAAATCTCTTTTTTTTCAAAAATTAAATACATTCGAAAAAAATATGCACATTAAAACTGAAAAAAAATTTTTTTCAAAAAAATAAAAATATTTTACAAAAAAGGACAAAGTTATTTAAAAGTTTCAAACCAAAGACCAAATATAAATTCCATATGGCGCAGCGAAAAAATGATATTTTAAAAATTTGCTTAAATGAAAAAAAACTTGAAAAAAAATATTGTTTTAATAAAACAAAAAATAAAAACAGCCAAAAAACACCAAAAGAATTTTAAAAACAAAGTTAAATTTTTTCAAGAAGTTCACGATAAAAAATTAACCTAAATAAAGTTAAGCAAAAGTTTAACCGCCAGAAAGGATACGAACCTGCGCCGCCGCTGTTGTGATACTTTCTCTTTTATTATGTGTTCATTTAACCCCCGCTAAAGCGTTAAAAATGCACTAGGTAAATCATCCTTGCAATCAAAATAAGGCGAATGAAAAAACAATTAATTACACTATTTAATGATTAAAAACTAGAAGGGGCCTATAAAGATAAAAATACGAACGACATTGAAACAAAATAAAAAGATGATATAGAAAAAACTAACAAATAAGCTACAAAAGTTAAATCTATTTTTGTTTTGAAAAAAAAGGTTTACAGGGCCGGGCAAAATCATAATTAATAAAACAACTAATAGCTAACTTAAAAAACTAAAAAAATTCAACCAAATTTTTTAAAAACAAAAAAAAAACGGAAAAAATCTAAAAAAGGAGAAGTTAAAAAAAAAAAACAAGTACAAAAATAAACGCGGAAAAAGAAATAGTTAAAAACAAATACAAAAGCAAAGAAAAAATCAATAAAAAAATATACTTAAAAACTAAAGGAATGGAAAAGGCAAAGTAAATTTATGCAAAAGTGTTTTGTTTTTATACTAACTTTAAAAACATTAAACTCTATTTTGCAAAGAAAAAAACAAAATGCCAAAATAATTTTTGATAATTTAAAACTTTTTAAAAATATTTTGCACAAAAAATTGAATGCTTTTTTGTTGAACACTAATTTTACAAAAAAACAAAATTTCACTACAAAAAAGACAATTTTTTAAAAACGCCGTTTTTAAAAAACAACGAAATTCGCAAAAACAGCAGATTTCCAAAAAAATATTTTTCAAAAAAAACAAAACAATTTGTTTCTTTAAGAGTTCCATTACTTTCAAAGTATTAAAACGAGCGTTTGTTCGCCGCGAAGCGGCGAACAAACGCTCGTAATTCTTTAAAAAAATATTTTTTTTATTTTTATAGAAAAAAATGTTGCAATTTAAATATTAAAAATTTCTAAAAAATTATTTTTTGGCATAATGTTTATAGTGGAAAATAATTATTTAATTTTCCTCATTATTTTATTTAAATATTCTGTGGCCGTCAGAAATAAAGAAATTGATGAGAATTATCAGCGTTTAATTCCCTTAAATCAAATACCAAATAATTGTGAACATTCTAAAGATAATGAAGTAAATTCTGAACCGGCAAAAGAATATGGGTTTGTTGAAAATATTGGGTTAGAAAAATGTAAAGTTTGGTTAGATGAAGAACAAAGTACTTCTAGTGATGAAAATGGGCATTATGAACGTTATAAATGTAAACACTTGAGAGGTACTAAATAAATATTTTGGACAAAATTTTTAATTTTGGGAAGGCAAAATTTAATATAAAATTAAATTAATACAAAAACTTAAATTTTGGGTTACTAGCAGTTTGAGAAAGTTTGGGTTCGGGTCCGCTTGGCGATAATTGAATTTTTTGTTTTTTAAATATTTGTTGTAAAAAAAATATTTTACGAGAATTTGCAGAATTTTTAATAAATTTTGACATTAATTATTCATTTAACTTTCATTTATTCCTTCCTCGTTTAGTGTGTCCATTCTGATATCTTTTTAATTCTCTTATATTCTCCTCAAAATATTTTCTAGTTTCTAAAATATTTTTATTAAAAAATATCGAAAAAAATCTTTAAATAAAAAATCTAAACAATTTGATTTAAAGTTCACGGACATTTTAATGAAGAAACTGGAAAATGTGAATGTAAAACAAATTGGAAGGGGTTAATATGTAATGAATTTATTGGTTGTCCAGTTAATTATTCGTATTTCTTAAATGTTTGTACACCAAATGTTTGTCAACATGATGGACAATTAGCATTAGGTTCTAAACATATTGAATGTATTTGTAAAGCACCTTGGGATGGAAGGTTTTGTGAAAGACTTGCTTGTTGGAGAATGGCTGATAAAGGTTTTAAAGAGGAAGATTTGGAGGAGAATAAAATTAAATTTTTATTTAGAACACGAAAGACGATGGAGAAATTCAATAGATCATTGTAAATGTGCAGATAATTATTCTGGTGAAAATTGTGAGACAATAATATCTTGTCAAAATGGGGAATTTATTAATGAAAAGTAAAGGAATTAAGGAAATAATAATTTAATATTTAATAAATAAAAAGGTGTCAATGTGCAGAAGGATGGACTGGAGAAATATGTGACCGTAAATGTACTCCTGGGCAAACGTAAATTTTAAGAAAAATATTTAATAGAAACTATCGGTTGCGGAGCTTTTCAAAAAAACCGAAACTAAGCTGAAACTAAACCTTTCGATAAAGCTTCAGTGTAGTATCGACCTTGTTAGGAAAAAGAGTCCGCATTAATTTAGATTTATTTATCAGATTTATTCGAAATGGTAGAAATTCAGAAAAGTTATGGACTGATAAACCTCAGAAAATTTTCCCGAATATGTCGATTTTAAAATTAATTTTAATTTTTTATTTAAAGTTGTGGCGCTGATTCTTTACTTTTTGGCAATCAAATTATAACATTTTTAATTATTCTATTTACTTGTTTAATGGCTTTTATAAACAGATTGATGGAAATTTAGTTATTAACAAATTATTATTTTCTCTCAAAATAATTTTTTCCTTAGAGCTTTCTTAAAATTCGATATTTGAAAATATTATTTTTTGTTTAAAAAACAGTTTGGCTCACTATAAAATACCCATTGTTGATAAAAATTGCAACTAATAAGGGGATGTATCTTAAATAGAGGGTCTTTATTTAGAGGATCTTTATTTTAAATCCTTACCTCCTATGGCCAACGAGATTTAATGAAGTCTGGATATGTTTATAGCAGGGTTGGATATATAACTTGATATCCAGCCTTCATAGGGGTCCTGATACCCCAAACCCGGACTTCTCGACCCGTTACTCGAAACCTGATCTGAAAAACTTTCCAAAACCCGATCTAAAGAAAATTTTGAAGACCCTATCCGACTTTTCTCTCAACCCTTACCATCCCTGCTTTATAGTGAGGCCAAACTTTATAGTTTGTATTCTTCTCATAATTAAAATTTAATCTCTTTTTTCTTATTTTTATTTCATTCTTTATATTATTTTTTAAAGTATTGTGAATAAATAAAATTTTTAAAGTTGAAATAAAAAATTTTATTTTAAAGTATAAAATGTCTGTCAATATTAGTGTGGTGATGTTTGTTAAAAAGAGCAGCTTTATGACTTTTAATTTTTTTACTTAGAAATAATAAAATATTTTTTGACTTTTAATCCCAAAAGATCATCTAATAAATAATTTTTTTTTCTCCTCGTATTTAACTCTATTCTTAGTGAAAGAGAGAAAGATGAACTTTTGGGGTATAATTAAAAATATAGTTGTACCTCGATACTTTATTAAATAAATATACATACCTAAATTACTTTTTTATGTTTTCTAAAATAAAGACCTCAAAAGTGATGCCTTCTGTTTAAGATATACACGATTTTACCTACATATAACTTCCCAATGGTGTATATAAAATCGAGATCTTTACTTTAGAAAATAAAAATAGTATTTTTAATTTAATTTAAATTCTACAAATGTCTGGTCGTTTGTTACTGTTTATTGGTTTATTATTTTCTGCACCAGTTGGATTCATTTTAATCTGGTTTGTAATTATTGCTTTGTCCAACCTATTGTTAACCTCATTACCCTTACAAACACCGTATTTCATCTAATAGAATGCCCGGACATTCAGTTAGAGGGAATACTGTATTTAATTTAAATGTTTGGATTTATTTTTGTTGGCGTTTTGTTTTTATTTTGTTATTACTGTAGAATTTTCATTTTAGAATGGTACAATTATCAAAAAGATTCGACATTTCCACAGCGGGTTAAAGGGGACATTGTGTAGTGTCTAATTTTCTCTGCTTCTCTAACTTTCTCTCAATTAAAGCATTACTCTCGCATGCAGATTTTAGGTTGCCAACTTTGATCGAGTCCTCTGGACGTTCTAGATGTTATTTTTTAAATCTTTCTGTTATTTTTATTTTTCATAGTTTAAAGAAGCTTTTGGCAAAAAATTATTAATTTATCTGGTTTTTAGCAAAAGTTACTGGTGTTTATATTTTAATAATTTTAGTGACAGATTTTTAAGAGTTACTTTAAGAAAAAAACAAAGATTTTGGTGCCAACCGATGCAGCTCGACGAGGTACGTCGAATGATACCAAATTTAAGTTTGTAGGACCAATTTAGGCTGAGATATAGGCCCACAAAAGTTGAAAATTTTTGGGGTTAGAGTTTTGGACATGAAAATTATAGCTCGATCGAAAGAGCTCGTCGAGCTGAGTCGAATGACACCAAAATCAGCTTGACTGAATAATTCCTAACAAAGTTATGACCTATAGATGGATGAGCCTTGCGTTTATTTGGAGAGTTTCGCGAATAAACAGGTGGTATTCGCGAATAAACAGGTTGTTTTTGCGAATAAATGGGTTTCTCTGCCTATGTCCTGTCTGTCAACAGAGTTAACCCGCTGTGCATTTCGAGATCTTTCGAATAATATGAAAATTATTCGAATCGAACGGAGATCAAAAACACTAATACTTATGAATCGACTTCTTAGTCATCTTTTGTTTGCTGTATTTTTAAACATTTTTTGTTCGCCATTGAACATTTTCTTCCCCCATTGATTTTTCTTCCCCCATTTTTTAAATATTTTTAGTAAAATTTTTAGTAAAAATATTTTAAAAAATTTTTTATAACCTTTTAAAAATGAACTAACTTAAATATTTTAACATCATTTTTAACTTTACTAACACTACTAACTTGATAAAATAATTTTTAATAATTTTCCATAGCAACGCTTTTTAATATAAATTAATATTTTCATCTTAAATTTCTTCTTTTTTTGCTTAGATTTATATCCCTATTTTTCCTTATATTTTTTTCTAAAAATATTTTTACATTTTTTTATGTTTTTGGATGTTTAGGGCATTGACAAAACTAATTGACGCTTCTTCTATTTCAAATAAATTAAATATTGCAAATATGAGTCAATATACAATTGCGGAATGTGGTTCTCGTAATTCTTTGGATTATCGAATTTTTATTAGTAAGAAATATTTTTAAAAATAAATTTTTAATAAAATATATTTGAATCCCTTCACCACAAGATACCCCCAAATATTAAATACATCTAAATTTGTGAGATACTTTTTTTAAACTAGGCCAGTAGGTGGGAGGGTTCGGACTGTATAATTAAATTTTATTTTTTAGAAGGACCAACGGGAAATCTTGTTTCGCCTTGGCACGATATTCCTTTGTATGCTGATCCTGTAGCGAAAATATTTAATATGGTTGTTGAGATACCTCGTTGGACTAACGCAAAAATGGAGGTTTTTTAAAGTATTTTCTTATTATTTTTAATTTATCAAAATAAAAGATGGCAACGAAAGAGCCAATGTCACCAATTCGTCAGGATGAGAAAAAAGGTTTGTTAGGGATTGATATGGGGACTGTAAAGGCTTGGGGTTTAGTTTTTTAGTTTATTGGGTCTTTGTTTTTCTGCTCGGGTAAACCCGGGCTTTACATCTCAATTAATTTTTGAAAATCTCTTCAGGTTTACCACGTTTTGTGAATAATATATTTCCTCATCACGGATATATTTGGAATTATGGAGCCTTACCTCAAACATGGGAAGATCCAAATCACGTGGATGCACATACTGGGGCTAAAGGAGATAATGACCCGATTGATATTATTGAAATTGGTTCGAAAGTTCAAGAAAGAGGGGCTATTGTTCAGGTTTTTTTAATTAAATATCTGAAAATATTTTAGTTTCTAATTTAAAGGTGAAGATTCTTGGAACATTGGCACTTTTGGATGAAGGCGAAACTGATTGGAAGGTATTTTGGGGATCTTGTGGACTTTGTTGCCCCATTTTGATTCTTTTCTATTTTCAATTATTTTATTTACCTGGAAACTAAATCAAGGATTAATTTTAGTAGTTATTTAACTAAGAAAGAGGGTTTTCTACATTTTTTCCATAAAATTATTGTTGTCCAAATGTAGCTTTTCATATAAGTATCAAAATAAAGATGCAACGCTTCCTTGGTGTAAAAAAATTAAAATTCATATCTTTTGATTGATTTAGTTGCCAAAGGTAAAAGAAGGGAAAATAGAGAAGAAATTAAAATCAGGCTCAAAATTTCAATATTCAATTTTTTCTAAAGTTGGTTGGAATTAATATCAAAGATGACTTGGCTTCTAAATTAAATAGTATTAGTGATGTTGAATTGTACATGCCTGGACTTTTATCCGCAACACAGGAATGGTTTCGTGTTTATAAAATACCAACTGGAAAGCCTGAAAATAAATTTGCTTTTAATGGCGAATTTAAGGATAAAGAATTTGCACACAAAGTTATTGAGGAAACAAATGAGTTTTGGAAAAGTTTAATTGCAAGTAATGAAACGGGAGGGTTAAACACGTTAGTTTATTTTTTAAATTATTTAATAATAAAGTCGGAACTCATACGTTCAATATCAAATAGACTTCATTGTCAGTTTAAGATTTGTTTTTAAAATTTGGTTAGCTAATTTATGAGGTTAGCTGTCCAATCGATAACCTTAAAATACGCCTAACTATAAGATTTAATTTTCAATCTAAAGGGTTATCTTATAGTGAGGACCGATTATATTTTGTGGAGAAACATTTCTTTTAACAATTATTTTTAAGTGAATGTCTTGTTCCTGGAGCTGCATTTCCCGCTAATCAACAAAATTGGACAAGTCTTTTTGATAAGCAACCGAAGAAAGGAGAGGAAAAGCCAATTCCGGAAAGTGTCGACAACTGGTATTATATTACTTTATCTGACAAATGACTGGGAAATAATAAATGGATAGCAAAGATATAGAGGTACTTTTTAAATATATTACTCCTCCCCTATTTGAATCTCAAAATTTTTCTTTCCTTTTTTGAATATTCAATTATGGAAGGAATTTTGATTAATAGAGAAAAGATTAATTTTGAGACTAAATAAAAATAGGGGAGGATGATATATGCAAAAAAGTACTAAAATACACCTACCTAATTTATATTTAAAATTAAACTATTTTCCTCTTTCTACCTCGACGAGGAAATTTTATTTTTGTTAAAAAGACATTTTTGGGTATTTTTTAATTTAACATATCGAGTTTCTTTAGGATTTTTAAATTACACAAAAATGTCTTTCAAGTAAAATATCATTTATTGACCGGTTTAATTTTGTTAAAATATTTGTGACTGACATTCGTAGCTTTGAAATCTAAAATGATTACTTTGGGACCGGTACCTGTGATCCAATTTCATGTTGGTCCGTTAGAATACAGTCTTTCTGTTATGCCGAGGTTTAAAATAAGGGAAGTCTCTTATTCCTCAACTTCATCGTGTCCAGATTTTTATATGCATAACAGTAAAGAAAAATCCTCAGATATCGGGCCACGAGTGTCGGTTGACAAAAAATTACCCATATAAAGAAAATAAATTGTTTTTGGTTGGCAATAAAATGTTGAGAATAATTTTGAAAATAAAAATGATAAAACTTTTGTTCTCTCCAATATTTATTTTATATAGGATTTTTTTTTAAAAAAATCGCAACTCTTCATTCCCTTTTTAAAATATCAAAAATTAACGTGGCAACTTAGAATATAATTTAACAAAATATTTCCCCAAACTTAGGATCGGTAATCAATCGAGAATAAAAAAATTTCAGAAATAATTCGAGATGTTAAAAATTTCTACTAATAATTTAAAAAACATATAAAAAATAAAAAATTATAAAATTTATATTTTCTGACTATATGAATTTTTAAATTTGGATATATGTAAAATTGAAGAAAAATATAAATGTCTATTTAGAAAGTTCTTAATTTATTTATTAAGAAAAGATAACTAAACTAAAAGTTTACTTTTGAAATTTCTGAAAATTATGACTTCGAGACCGACATTTGTGATCCAATTTAATGTTGGTCCGTTAGAATACTAAACTGAAAGAATATATTCTTTTAAATATTTCCAACCGAGGAAAGAACTTTCTAAATAAATTAATTTTCTATAAAATATTTTAATTTTCCCTTAGCTCTAAGCCTAAGAAAAAAAAATTTCAGCACTATTATATGTATAACTAGGCCCTTTTCTACATAAATATTTAATTTAGAGTTTAATTCTTTTTTCTTCTTTTAATTGAGGAATTAAACCAGCAGATTTTGTTGTTAATTTTTTCCTCAAATTTTTTGATGGAGGAATTATTCTTAATAAATGCTTTGCTTTTTCAGTTATTTCTAATTGGTCTGTAGATTTTCCAAACATTAGTTGACAATCATTTTGAGAAAACTAAAAAAAATATATTTAAAGAAAATTTTTTGAGTTTATATTACAATTAAGTTTTTTATTTTTTATACAATCGGCCGTTATCAATGGATACACCCTCAAATACTAGATTGGAGGTACCAATAAAGAATTTTTTCTTAAGCTTTCTAATTTAGTTTTGGATGGCTAACAATTTAAAATACTCGTTAAATTTTCATCCTCAGGGGTCTTCTTATAGTGAATTTTGCATATACCAAAAGAATTCCTTAATTTTAATTACCAAAGCAGATATTTCCTTCTTCAAATTCCCAACATTCAATTCATTATTTATTCCTTCAATAAATAAACTTGAAATATTAATTCTTTCAATTTTTTGCCATTCCAATAAAGAATTATTTGTTTTCTTTCTAGGACTTTCTCTTCTCCATTTAAGTGATAATAATTTACGTTCAAATTTTAAAGAACGAGTCTTGAAATTAAATTTAAAAAATATTTATTTTTAATTGGAGAGCCCGAACATTTGCGGACATTTGTAAAAGCATTGTTTATACATAGATTCCCTAACATTTCGTCTTCGAGACATTATTTTTAAAAATTAAAGAGAAGTTTAATTTTGTCCACAAATGTCTGTCATTTATTTTTTTTATTTACCGGATTTCTGTTCTTTTCTGGTGTCTGTAGCTTTTCAGGCTGCATTTTATCCAAATCATTTAAAATATCATCAACAATACTAGTTTCGAGAGGTCCATAATTTTGTTCTTGTAAAGGCGAATGGAAACCCGAAGATGTTGAAGGATTAAAATTAGAATTTTCTGTATCAAATAACAAAAGAGAAGACGAAGAACGTTCATTAAGGATTGGAGTTGAATGATATAATGGCTAAAAAAAAGAGAAGATTATTTACAAGCCCTCCTCCCCTTCTAAAAATACCTGTACAGAAGCAAGCCCTTTACTTGGTGTCTCAATAAGTGAAGATTTGGAAAGTAATGATAAACGAGAATTTTGGTCATCACTTAATTGAGTGTCTGAAAACCCCGAATCTTTAGAAACACGTCTTGATTGTTGTTTGTCGTCTTTATTTTTATCAACATTTTTTATATCCTTTTCTTGATGTAAATTTGAAGATTTTTGTTGGTTTAAAGTTTGTTCTGCTGGTCTATCCCCACTAAATCGGACACCTAAAAAATGATAAAAATATTTTAACCTCATTATATACATTCAATTTATCTAAAAAATTTAAGTTTGTTGACCCCTGAGTATGAGGAAGCAATACCCTCTAATTAAATACACCTTATTATAAGAACTTTTTAGTCCAGGGCTTTTGAGGTTATTTTTTTCATTTTTTTGAGATTTATTCCAAAAGTGAGGTTTAATTGAAGAATTAATTTAAATTAACAAAAAATATAAAAATAGACCAATATAATTTTGTAAATTTAAAGGCCGCAAAACTTGATCTCTAATACTGTTACTACAAGAAGTTGTCGAAGAAATAGAGGAAGAACAACTTGGGGATTGTTGTCTTTTTTCTTTAATAAAGAATGAACGTAAAGGAGATCCAGATAAATGAATTGATGCTGTTAATGATTGTCGAGGAGTTCGAAGGGGTGGAGAACAAAAAGAACTTGTTGACTTTAAATTAAAAGAGATTTAGATTTATCCCTTTTCAGAATTTAACAAAATTTTAGCCACCGGGCAGGGATCGAACCAGAAATCTCCTGTCAGCTTCGCTCAATAAATGTTTTACTACTTTAACCGAACTTCCGTAGTGACGGCTCTGTTTTCTAATTTGGAAATTCCCTTCCTACAATGTATATATTTAACTTGTAAGAACTAAAATATGTGGAAAGGAAGGGTCAGTTGCCAAATAATTTGAAGAAAATTTCTAAAAAAGGACCAGTCGACAAGGCGGAGAATTGTCATTAGCTATAACTGAAGAAGTTGAAGCAAAAGATAAATGAGTAGAAATAGAAGGAAATGAAACTTCAGGTATTGAATGTGTTCGGGAAGAATTTTTGTTGTTTGATCGAAGAGAACTTCGAACTCTTCGTCTGTCAGGAGTCTCCTTAAAAATAAATTTTTTTAAAATTAATTATTAAATAACCCAATACCAAATAAACCTCAATTAAGGCTATAAAAATTACTAGCATAATTTTTATCTCGGAAAACTAAAAATATTTCAAGAACTGGAAATCATTATTCCTCAATTATCTATATATAGGGGGGGGGGGGTATCTAAAAGCGAGATTCAACTATGGCGAGGTATTTGAAAAAAATTTTCAAAAAAATTTACCAAAACACTAACTGCAGAAGGCCATCCACCACTACAAGTCCCCCCAATGTGTTCAGCTTCATCAGAAGAAGACGAACCACAATTTTGATTATTTCTATTATTTGTTTTGCCTCCAACTTTTGTGGAAGGCATTTATTTTTTATTTTTTAATTTTTGTTGGCGGCAAAGCCCTAAGGGAAGAGGGAAATGTGTGTGTGTGGTTGTCAGTAACAAACCATTAAAAAAGTCGATCGTTTAAGAAATCATTAAATTTATAAAAATAGGTCAAAACTAAGCGATTAATTTACATAAATAAATAAAAACCAGTCAAATAAAAATGTTTATACCCAAAAGATCGTAAAAAAGATCAAATCTTTCTGTTCCTAAACATTCATGAATTTAACTGTTTCTATTATAATAAATCTTTATTAATCGAGGGCTTTGGATATCTTGACTTTTTTCCTCAATTATCTGTGATCATTTAAAGTATAGTTGAATTATATATAGGAAAAGATCAGCAGAGCTTCTGACAGCTTTGATCGCCTTTATTGACCAAGTGTTTGAAAGCCCTCGATAGGCACAATCTTTATTGTTAGAGGACAGATCTAGTCTAATCATTCATTAAGCAGTTACAACACGATAAGCGAAATTATTTGGTGTCTTTCACATTTATCGAGTCATAACCCCAAAATACATAGATCTATCCTATTGGAAAGGAACTCAATTGAGGTTTTCTAGCTTATTCTTCAGTTATCATTCGATCCTTTGGGTTAATCCAAAAAAGGAATTTAAAGAAGATTGATGGATATTTAACATAAAGAAGGAGAAAAAAAATATTTTTTACTAGCAAATCATTTGCATTTTCCCTTTATTTTATTCGATGTTTGGCGCATTCAGGCAGGCAGACTGGTTGATAATTCTAGGATGTGAAAAAGAGAAGAAAAGTTAGAGAATAGGTAAGAAAAT